CTTGTTTTTTGCCAGGTCAAATACCCTCATGTACTTTTCTTTCCATGACCTCCAAGACCCTGGCTTGATCAATAGCTAAGGGTGTGTACTTCTCATACCTTGAGCCACCTTTCAAAAGTCGGCTTTCCCACATCTCCAGTCTCTATTGATCACTTCTCCCAGTCGCGTGTTATTCTTTTTCTCTTTCTTCTCTTCCCCTACCTCTACCTTGACCAACTTAGTCGCTTCCGAAAAATCATCCTCTACTTCCTCTACGTTCATGTACTTTGCACACCTTGCCAGCACTTCGTCAAATGTCCTACCAGGTCGCTTGGCTAGAGAGTTCTTACATAGTCCTGGTCGTAATCCTCTGGTTAGCCCACCAGACTTGATATCCTCAGCCACTAAGGGAATGTCACATGCCCTAGTATATCGACCATGATCTCTCAATGATTCGTTATCTTTCTGTTGCATCCCAACCAAAGTGAGGTAAGTCTTTTTGGTGCGCCTTAACACTTGCGAACTGATTGATGAAGCTTGACTTGAATGCCTCAAAATCTAATATAGCTCCTGGTAACAGCTGATGAAACTAATCTTGTGCAGGTCCTCGTAATTGGCAAGGAAGGCCCTGCGCCTAACTGGATCGTTATATCTATGCAAATGCCTAGTTAGGTCGGTAAACCCATCATACCATAAGTGGAGAATAAGAAGTCACCTCTGGTCTCATGACGAGTTGCCTCTTCCCGAGTAGCGGCATGCTCTTTGAGCTTTTTAACCTCGGTCTCGTGTGCTTTATTTTACTTTTGGAAGAGCGCAACTTGAGAGTCTTGAAGAGCCTCTGACATTCTACAAGCCTTGGATATCCGTACCATCTCAGTCATGAGCTATTCGACTTGACGTAGGGAGCTCTAGGCTATCTCGTCATGCAACTCTTTCTTTAGTCGATGGTGCTCGCAGAAAGAAGGTGCTTCTCCCTTGGTAGCTTCGTGGAGAGTAGAAGCAAGGCCAAACAAGAGCTTAATACATAATGTAAAGTAGGAATCTATATTACAAAGTATAAGGAGCTCGACACATAATGGTAGGAAAGACTGATAAATACCTTGGCAACCAGACGCATGCAGTACATAGTCTGCATCTTTGAGTCGTCATCCTAGCGATTTATTTCCCCACTAGGAAAGACCAATAACATATAGAATGCCTAGACCCTAAGGTCTTTGCAGGTCGTAGACGTGGCTGGTTGTTGGATGGAGCTTTAAGGTGGCTGGAAAGCAGTTTCATTCTGTATTGAAGAGTCACCGGCCTCCAGATCCTTTCTCGTTTTGGATCCCAAAATAATATTTTGTAATAGCTCCCTAGTCGACTTCTACTGGGGAGCAAGAGGAGTGTTGATCCGTCGATCGACGACAGAGATGCTTGGGCGAGTGACGGGAGCCTTTTTCAAATGCCTGTGGGTGGGGGTAATGGAAATAGCTCCAGATACGAACTTGTCTGAGAATTAAAGAATAATATTAATCCAAGTTTAAAGATGTCATAAACTAGAAAAGGGTTGTTAGTTCATGTACCTAGGTCAAAAGGTGCGGCGTATTTGGATGTCGGTCCATAGTAGGATCAAAGCTAGACACCTAAAGTGAGTTTATCTATGTTGTACGAGACCTCATTCCACACGACAATCAGATTGTCAAATGGGGTAATATATTTTGGCTTTAATTTTTGACATGTGGCCTCCTCAAGCCCATCCAAGATGAAGTTAAATGTACCTAAGGAAGGTTTTACAAAGAAGAATCACAATTTTCAATGTGAAACATTGGTGGGCAAGTCCTTAATATACTCGACTCGGTTACGACCACTGAGATAAATTGAGATTTTTTGTTTTTTGAGGTCATAACTATAAAAGAAAATTTGGGTATCTAGATCTTGAAGTTTATAACGACTAAAAATTATAAAAACTACTAGTATACGAATGAAGGTAGGACTGAGCTGATTTATGGGCATATGATACAGTTCACTAAGGGCAGAGAGGTCATATCTGATTGGAAAACGAAGGCCATTGAGAATATGGTTAACAAAAAAAGTGTAAAACCCAGGTGGAGACCGATTGTCAGAACTACCTAGGGAGGGAGCTTTGAAAACCCAGCCTGTAGGAGTTTATAAATGCCTTTATTTCAGGTTCTTGGGCGAGAAAAAAATGATTAGCTTAAGTAAGAGCTACAACACTAGAAGCACGTTCTATGTTAGGGTTAGCAGGTTGGTCGGTGTCTACTGTTACACGAGCTTGACGAGCTCTTAGCTCGGAGTTGGAAAGAGGTACGTCTTTGGGTGGTCCATGGGGTAGGTCGAATGGATGGGTTTTACAATTTGTTATAAAGTATCCCAGGGTATGTCCAATGCGGGCTCGTCTATAAGGTGTATGGTCGACCTAATCGACTAAGCTCTAATGGGGGCAAGAATAATAGTTAGAGACTGGTCGGAGTGGGATGAGCTCGCTGCAGGGTTCGACTTGTCGGAGTGCGAGAAAATCGCTGCAGTGTTAGGGGAATTAGGTGGAAAATTGAAAAAAAAATAGAAAAATTGGATAAATGAGAACGGGAAAGATGGAAATGAAGAACAATGCACATATACAAACAACACAAAGTATAATATTTCACTCATTTTCGAGTGGCCAGGAAGCAGAAGAAGATCGGCGGAATAGTAGGGGAAGATCGCCTGAGAATAATGGAAGTCGTCGAGAATTGCAGAGAATTGGGATTTTTTTCTTTAGATAGCTCAAGGATTCGAAAGTGCAGAAAACAAAAAAGTGAGGAAGATGAGAGTTTTTATAGCATAGGGCATTCATGATCTACCATTAGATCACGATAAATCGAAGGGCTCAGATTTGAGATCTTGGTACGAAATACGAGGAGCCTGACATATGGGACAAGCGAAAAGACAAGCGTGATGTACGAGGCATGTCCCGATGAGTCCAGGTCAGGTATGACCTTTTTAGACTGATGTTTATTTTTGTTATTATTATTAAACAAGTCTTTGAGCTCGAATAACAATAACTCGTTTGATATGAGGAGAGCAGGTGATATAGCACATAGTGTAGCTCGGGTAATAGGCTACAGTTAGCTTGGTAGTGGTCCCAAAAGTTGCTTAAGTTAGGGGTCTCAGCTAGTTATGATGAGTGGGTCGTAAGTAGCTCGGACAACATAGTGTGTTAGTAGCTTGGACATCATAGTGTGTTGATAGTTCAGACAATATTATGTGTCAGTAGCTCGGGAAGCATAGTGTGTCGATAGCTCAAACATTATTGTGCCAGTAGCTTAGATAACACAATATCAATAGCTTAGACAACATAGTGGGCCATTAGCTTGGACAACACAATATGATAGTAGCTCAAACGACATAGTATAAAAGTAGCTTAGACATGTGGTAGTCAAAGAAGAGGGTGTATCGGTATCTCAGCAGGCCGGTGGTGTAACAGTTAGGACAAAAATGGGTCTCATGTGATGAAGACCAACCTAGGGAGACTCGACCTGGAGATCATGGACTTATAATGGCTAAGACTAAGAGGGTAAGAAGACATATGAAGGAAGGATTTGAGAACCTGTTGATAAGGAACACGTGTAGGGCTATACGAGAAAGTTCTAAATGATACTGTGGGTAAAAGTGAGTCTCGGACAGACCTAGGGCTAGCTAAATAATTGTTGGACAGGCATTCGGGTAGGCCTTCGAGCAACAAGGTAGGTTAAAACTTGTTCAATAAACTAATTAAATGATTCGCTATAAATATGTGAGGAATGAGAGATAAAAGATTAATCACTCTATATACTCTAAACTTTACAATACAATTAGATATTGTTTTCCATAACCCATCACTGACTTCCATCGTCGGATGTTTGACGCCGAGAACATTGGTCTTCAATGAGCAAATCAATGTGAGGACAAAAAAGAGTATGTTCGATGCAGTGCTAGTGATACTACCGTGTGTCTTGGCACACCTAGCAAGGTGTGCCAAGACAATTTAAAATGAACATGTTACTTTATAAAATGAACATGTGTTATAAAGTAACATGTTCATTTTAAAAAAGTTTTGGCACACCTAAGTATTTGCGTGTTCAATGTGCGACAACAAATCAAATTAATATTTCAGTTGAATTTTTCTCTGTTGATAGACACATCATTTGTTTGAGAGATTGAAAACTAGAAAAAAGGCTTGCACTTAGACATGGCCAGGTGCCGGGTTCTGGTCCGGCCCGGCCCGGCCCGTCGGGCCACGGGCCAGCCAACCTGCGGACCACAACCGGCCCGCTAAAAACCAAGGGCCGGTTCTATCTGAACCGCCGGTTCACCCACGTGTACGGCCCTTGAAAAAACCAAAGAATTTGGTCCGACCCGGCCCGGACCGCCGGTACAAAAAAAAGAGAGAACCGTAACCGGCCCGCTTTGGGCCCGATCCGGTTCACTAACCGGCCACTGTTCATGCCGGTGCCGGTGTTGGTTCGGGCCAGACCGGTACGGGTTGCCATATTTTTTTTTGGTACAAAAAAGGAGGAAACATGCCTAAATTATGACCGATCTCGGGTAGAAACCCCCAATCTATTAAAATCACATCAGTTGCCCCATAATGACCGAATTTATGGAAGGTAGGTAAAAAATGATGGAATATAATAATAAATCTATCAAGACATAATTAATTACCCTGTAATTTTCATTTCATTTTTATTTTTATAAAAAAGTAGGAGCACATCTCAAAATTCAAGACGGATAGAATTTCACGTGGAGAGGAAAAAAAAAAAAGTGTGAAAAGAAATGTATAATTATGCACCGACAACGTCAATACAGTAACACTCGAACCAAATAGCAAAACACTACAACTAAAGAAAAAAAGAAGAAAAGGGAAAAAAAACATAGACTTATACAAATAAATTCAATAGCCATCAGAAGTTCACAGCAAGAATTATTGGAATCAAACTCCCAAAAACACTCAAACTCATAGTTGTAGATATGCGAAGCAGAAGCTCAAAATCACAGCCACAAAT